TCCCATTTTGAAATTCTAGTTTGACCTCTAACCAGGAAACTTTGATATCAGGAAACAGTTAATTGGGCCGTGTGTTCAGGGATTCCATTTGCTTCTGCCCAACATAGACGCATTTTTAACAACTTTTAATATTCCTGAAGTAAATGCTCTATTATTTACCTCTGTTACTTACTTTTTCTTTTGACACATTATTTGTTAAGATTGTTTGGATGTGAAAACCATTAAACTTGTCTATACCAGAACGTTACTCAACAGAAATAATATACGAAGTGGCTGTTTCGATTGTGTAATATTTAACGAATTGGTCTCTCATTGTCAAATTAGTTCACTCATAGTCTGACAAGTTTCAATCCGGCGAATCCATTGCGTTTCTTAGCCTCTCTTTCCTGGAATTTCGATGAGCCGATGAAGTTGATTCCTAATACCCTACCACCTGTCCTTGCTCTGCCGCCTGCGAGTCAATACTTTGTTATTTTCGTGACTGGTTAACTGTGGGCCATCTCTTTTTCTTTTCCCGTGTATCTTGACGTATTCCATACACCGCGTGCCGACTTATGTAATTTTATAATTTTCCATATTTGTAATCAAAAGTACACAAATTAGTCGTACTATTCCAAAAACAAAATAACTTGCTTTGAGGAGCAATAATATTAGGAATTCACCCAAAATACGTTTTGGGAGGAATCATTTTATGTGAGTATTGTGAAACTCTGATCCTGAATACAAGATATTTCTGGGAAAGTGCAGATCGACGATGATTCGTCTGATACGGAATCTGAAAATATTAAAATGTGTGATCATGACAGTAAATTTGAAAAGAAAATACGATCAATACGAGGCAATATTAATAGCTAAGAATTATCAGAAAGTAATGGAGATAACATTTCTAAATTCATTACAGAAAATAATAAACCGTGCAGCAAGAAACAATTACAGTAAAAAATGTCTCTTTATTATTAATATCAAATAGATAACACATCACTGGATATCAAATTTTCTAGAGCGTCACACAAAATATTTTGAATAAATATGGAATTCATTCATAAATATGAATTATCATTGTTTTGTGTATATTACGTTTTGTCCATGTGCCTACCTGGAGGGAAAGTTCGAAAACAAATTTCGTACGTCTTTAGAAGTAAAACTGGATGTTCCACGCAAAAGCTTTTGCGGAATCTTAAAAAATGCTCAAGCCTTACTAACAATTCAGAACATAACTGCAAAAACTTTAATCGTCCTAGCGATATCTCTGTTGGCCATGTACTGGATGGCTGCATAATAACAATGTTTCTAGAAAACGTTACGAACTTTTATCCGCTTAATCCTATCAATATACAACATTAGTGATTTTTTGAACTCCCTTTCGAAATTTTGAAGTTTCCCCAAGCTCCGCCTACATGCCCTAGACGTTCCTAATACCTCATGCAATTGCAATTCACAATTTGTAAAGGTTATTCTCGTTTGAAATTCATCAACATTTGGTGCGAGGCTGGCTGGCATTTGTAAATCCAAAAGTAGTTGAAAGAATGATCTTTCAACTATTTTTGGATTTACGCGCATGTTAATTCTTACAGGTTAAACTGTCGTAGTTTTTTCGTGATGTCGCTGTATCTTATAGCTAAACGTTGCGTCAACCGTGCCGAAAGAGACGCAGAACATCTTTTGTCTTGCCATTTCTTAAAACCACTGCGGTAGTACGCTTTGTGGCTTCATTCATTACAGTTATACGCAGCTTCAGTCAATAAAAAACAGATGTCTCAGAACAAATGTTACGGTCTAGGGCATGTAGAGGGGCTGAAAATTATCCCAGATAATACCATGAGTGCTCTGGAAATTGTCGATAAATCCAAGACTCGCGAAGTGAGGATTGGATTTATCTAATAATTTCCAAAGCACGAGTGGTATTTAATAAGACTATTCCACGAATAAATTCCAACAGAGTTCCAAAATGCGCGAAATATTGAAAATAACTGAAAGCTTCGTTAAAATTAGAGTGGTTATGTTATAGCGGTTTATTGGACATCGATGTTTACCGCCTTCTAAGATGAATTAATCACAACTTATGATTGGCCAGGAGGGAAATAAGAGAAATCGGATAAAGAAGAGAGATAAACTTTTTTGAGATACACCGCCCTGATCGGAACATTTTGTATGTTTAGTTAAATACTATTTGTTTTGATTTCACGAGTCGAATAGTCATTGTAATTGAATATGTAGTGGGAAATTTCATGTAACCGAATTGCACGTACATATATTTGCCCCTGATTGTGAGGCACTTCCTAAAGCACGGATGTTTAGCGGATCACGTTCTGAAGCAGTCAAGGAGATTTCAAGTACCTGCCGAACATGAAATATATCTGCCGAATAGATTTCATGTACCTGGGCAAACGAGGTTGCCTAGCAACCATAGGCATTTGATAAGTGCAGTTGCTTTTGTGGAAAGGTCTGTTGATCAGCTTGTGATAGTCCTCTACGATTGAGTGCAATTATTTTCCACGCAGTCATTTTGCTTCGTTTTGCAAACCAGTTTGTGAGATTTCGAACTACCATTATTTTTTGTGGCTAATAGCATTGTTGATTCTGCTGTTGTTGTCTTCAACGCTCCTGCATTTGTTTGTGAACTGGAACTGATCAATCTTTAGAAACAAAGTAAGCCGCTTTGTGCTTGCATTTTTGTGTGATTTTTACTTTCTCACCTTACTTCGTGAGAAGAGAAAGTAGTGTAATTGTGCGCCGGAAATCGGCGATTTTCCGACAGAAAAACTTTTATTGTGGGGCCCTGATAACGACAAAATAAATAAATCTTGTTCCTATGTAGCAGGAGGGTTGGAGCATAAGTCACGGCAACTATTTTCTTTTTTGAGAATACGAGCACGGGTGGAAAATATGAAGTACACACATGAAAGGACCAGGTATAAACCAAGTACATGGACATTTAACACATCAAAATTGTGTTTCTCATATTTATTAAAGTATTTGAAATGAGAGAAATGGTTTTATGTTCCAAAGCATTTTAGCATATACGCTTTCACAACATTCTAAAACCATTACACACCCGTTCTAAAGGCTTAATTACGCAGATGCTCGGTAACCGCACGTGTCACTCGCACACTCACACGTGCGTTACTGATCACGCAGCTTGCAATGCGTTCCCGCAGAAATTCTCCTGACCATCCGCAAGATCGCCCGGTATTACTCCCAAGAGATTTCACCAATTCCTTGTGACATTCTCGGGCATTTTCCCCATGGGTAACGGTTATCTTTGTGAATGAGCACTGCTTGAAATAAGTTAAATTCATCTTGCACGGCGGTAGTCAGACAACTGATTTCCCATTGCACTCTATGTTAATAGAGACTCTCAGAGAGCCATTTGTTGATGTGAACATATTCTACCGCAGCATTTCTTTCTCTTGGCAAATGAAATTGTGTGATCCGATAACAATTCTTTTAGAAAAAAAAGTTGCTGTCCAACCCTCGTAAATTACTCTAAGACGTGTAGTTAGAATTCACGGTTTGTGGGTCCTTAATGCAGAAAAATCGATTTTCAAAATGTCTGGCCATCTTTCTGTCCCTGACAGTCTGCAAACAAAGCTAGAGCTTAAACCATGGATTCCCAAATTCTTTCGTTCCTCGACACCTTTTATAAGAATTGTTGGTTCCAGCTACCCTCTTAACTTATTATCTATAATTTATCATGTATAACACAAAAAATTGAATACAAATATCTTAAAAATAACAATTTTGCACGCCAATATTCTGATAGCTGTCGAGATTTTCAATAATTGAAGGCGCTTCCACGTCTGAGTAGCTGAGTTTATAGCTGATCTCCATTGCTGTGCAATTGTTACAAAATGTTATGCGTTTAAATGGCAAAAAACAACTCTAATACGTTTTGCAGGGAGTAATTTTCTGATAGAAAGCATCAAAACAGGTAATAATAATAATAATAATAATAATAATAATAATAATAATAATAATAATAATAAATTCGCGTATAATTTCTGCAAGAGCATATGGTTGTGAAGACAGTTACATTTTTTCAGTTTTTTAAACATCCTAAACAGGTGCGTAGTTGCGTGCGTGCTAGGTTCTGAGTTGCCCCTGCGAAGAAAGACTTCCTTATCTGAAATTAATGTTAATTTAAGATTATAAATGTAATTAGTAAACAGTAATAACATTACTGGTGCAATGGAAAAAATAAGAATGGAGTACAGTTTGTTTTATTCTTTTTCGATATCCGACCCGGGGGTCCTTGTTAAGATTCCCTAATTCCGGGATAACAGAGCGATGCACCGGCTGTACCAGCACAGCTAGGTCCTGATCCTAAGGATGATCCTAAAGATGAAAAACAAAAGCGAACTTGTAACTTATATAGTTTGTTACTTTATATGAGATAGAATTTAAATATCAAGTTCATTAATTATTTTTTAATCAATAGAATTTTATTGTACTTATCAATTCACCTTTCATTTTCGGTTTCAGACCCCCCAATCGACTCCTTGATCATCACTGACCCCCATCAAATTTTTAGCGACTCCCAGGGGGTCGTTAGAACCCTTTTGGGAACCTTCGGCCTAAACCATTCAGACAATTTTCTACAAAATTGATATTCTCCCGTCGTTTTAAACGATCTCAAAACCCCGTGAGTTTGAAACGGATATTTTGGTTTTATAGGGGTACTTAACAAGAAGCCTCAACATTTTCAAAATTGAGATTTTTTTCCTTTATCTGATCTATTGTTCAAAGACAAACCTTGAAATAAGGTCATATACAATTTTTCGAACATATATGAGTTCCCCAGTTTTTGCGTAAAATAAACGCAAGTTTTAAAACAATTATTAATTTTTATTTAAACTAGTGCCTATTAATTAGAAAATTAAAAGTTTGCCTCTCTTGTAATAATAACTTTATAATTATTTTTATTTCAAACGTTATCCTAATATTTACAATAAAAATGTAAAAAATCGTGAGAAACGAATAAGAAAATCTAATCTGTGATGCCCGGAAATCCTGTGTGCATAGAAATACTATAAATGTAGGCAACGTCATCAAACATTTTTGAATAAATCTTGAGAATGTGAATTCCATTTCTGTTCACTGCTCGGTGCTTACTTTCCGATCTCAGAATGAAAGAATAGGGAATTAATTTTTATTTGGAGTATTGGTAGTAATGCTTCTTGGGAAGGTCGCAGTGAAAGTCGCGGACATATGAAGGACGTTATGCGACAGACGTTGATGAGCGAATACTATTCTATTAACATCTGTGTTCAAGTGGTTACTTAGTGACCTGAAGGAAGTAGTGTATTAACATAGTTAATATGTTGCGAACGACTCTTATACGATGTGATTTTATGAAAGGGACTGCAAGGCAGGTGGTGAGAAGTAATGTTGTGCGATGTATGAGTGTTGAATGTGCACATAAAAGACATATTTTTAGGTGAGTACTTGCATACATAAAATTGATCATAATTAATAAAATTGATCATAATATTAAATCGTATATTTTTAGTGGACATTAATTTTTGAAATTTAAGGGTCGTGTTGTGCGTATTTTTCGGTTTAATATATGTAACATGCAGTAATTGTTGTTCAAGGATAGTTCATTGGAATTATAGGCTTTTATTCACTTAAGACGTCGCGCTGATGATTTTAAATGATTATTATAAATCTTGTTATTGCAAATATTTGTCAATATTTCAGATATGGCAATCAGTCACTTGGTAACAGACGGGTTCTTCTTTTATGGAGGAATCCAGAATTGTGTGTTCGATATTATAGTGATTATCCAAAGCACACTAAAGTAAATTTACCTGCTCTCTCTCCTACAATGGAGACAGGAAGTATAGTTAGCTGGGAAAAGAAAGAAGGTATGCATGTATTACAAAGATTATTAATATAATTTTGGTGAAAGGATCTAACCCCTAATGATGTTGTAGGAGACAAGTTAAATGAAGGTGATTTATTGGCTGAAATTGAAACTGACAAAGCAACAATGGGGTTTGAAACTCCTGAGGAAGGATATTTAGCTAAAATTCTTGTTCCTGGAGGAACCAAAGATGTCCGTGTAGGCAAGGTAAGAATACCACGGTTTATTTCCTTGCTACATGTTCCAGCAGCATTCCATTTACAAATTCTATTTAACAAATTTGTGTAAAGGGACTATAGTTTGCTTTGATAAAAATTTTCATCCATGTCTTGCAAAAATGGAAAAAATGTTGAAAGATATCTTTAAGGTTTTTATGTTGAAAAATTTGGAATTTTATTGATCTTTTAATAATTATGACAAGTTTGAACACTTTGTAACATCTGTATACAATACAAGAAATCTCAATTCTGAAGAGATGATTTGGTTGTTGTTGTGTCAGAGTTTTGTGTCAAAAGGATTACAAATTGTTATCGTTATGTACTATTGCATTCCAGCTGGTCTGCATTATTGTGGAATCAGCAGACCAAGTCGCTGCTTTCAAGGATTTTGTAGACACTGCTGAACCAGATGCACCTCCTAAACCTGCTGCACCTTCAGCACCTGCTCCTGCTGCTGCTGCGGCACCTGCAGCAGCTCCTGCAGCTGTTGCTGCTCCTGCTGCACCCCTACCCCCAGGAGCTCGGGTTTATGCCAGTCCTCTTGCGCTCCGATTGGCAGCAGAGAAGGGTGTGTCCCTTCAGGTGAGGAGATATTGTATCTGTATTTTAGGTCTTTGTGTTGTAATTTTCTAACAGTGGACCTTCAACTAAACTAAGGTGTGATATGTTGTAGAGTATTAAGGGCTTCTTTTTAAAAAAAGGTAAGGGTGATCAATTTAACTTCATAAGGAAAGAAATGTATCAGTGAAAATAATTAATGAACAGAATTATACTACTCAAGGAGTTATCTCAAAAGTCACTTGCTTGTAAATGAGGAAATGTCCTGTAAATTGGAAATATCATATTTTTGTAATGGGTGGTAATATTTCTTTATTTTTGTGTAAGTTCAAGTTTTCATGTTGTGTAGTTGCACATTAATTGAATTGAAATGAGTGGTACAAATTTCTAATAAAAATTCATTAGGAGAAATGGATTTTTGAAAAATATTGGATTTTGATGACAAGTCCAAAGAAACCAAGAATTCTTATTTCAAGTAGTCTAATAAGGAAGTAATGTTGCAGGATTTTTAATGATTAAGACATTTTTGTTTTGATAATTTGAAATTGCAGCCACTTACCTTTAGAATTAGCACAATGTACTCCAGAGAGTTAGACTATTTTGAAATAGACACATTTTTAACTTAGAAATGAAAATGTGAACATATTGTTACTCGAGTCTTATTTTTCTCTTTCTTAACATTTTCTTGAATGGAAACTTATTGAAATCAAACTGGAAAGGTATTTAGAAATGTTGCAAACATTAGGTTTTTCACTAACAAAATTTCTCTTTTCTTCTGTAGGTTTAAAAAATAGCCTAAAACTACTACATAACACTGACTTTTATTAAAAATAAAAATAGGAAACAAGAACAAAAGAAATTATGTAACTTTACCACAAAAAGATGTGGAATTTATTTTATTAAGTACATTAGAGAACCCTCAGATTTGTTTTTCTTATTGATTTTGATATTTTCAGTTTGCTTAGCAAATAAACATATTACAATTTGTTTAAGTATGGAAATGTCAATAGATTCACTAATATGCAATGGCTGAATTTGTTGTAGGCTATTGGGAAAGGGACAGGTCTTTATGGTTCAATCACATCCAAAGACGTAGCTGCTGCCCCAGCTGGGATGGCTGTTGGAGCAGCTCCAGGTGCACCAGCAGGAGCAATTCCAGGTGCTGCTTACACTGACCATCCCGTTTCCAATATGCGAGCAGTGATAGCTAAAAGATTGCTCCAATCAAAGCAGGTAATGAATGTTATGAAATTAATTATGTTTTAAAGGTATAAATGAGAAGTATAAAACACAAGGATATGCATTGTAAGCCGATCAAGCACTAAAACCTCTTTTTCGAGAAAATGAAAACAGCCCAACTGGATTTTAAAAAATCAGTGTAGTTTGGTTTTACAACTAAACAAAGGTTCCATGGCACATTGTTCTTATAACCCTTCATTAGTGGTAGCACATAGAAAACTACAAAAGTAAAACGAGAAAATTTTTGGTTGTTGGCCCTTAGATTGTTTAGCCCCACTATGTGAAATACATTTAATTATATGTAAAGGAATGCATAACTTCATTGCCGATTGATATGCAAATATAACATTTGCTTTGCAATATTTCAAAGATATTGACTTTTTGTTTCAGACAATACCCCATTATTACCTTCAAATGGATGTAAAAATGGATGAAATAATGAAACTGCGTAAATCTATGAATTCACTTTTAGAGAAGCAAAAAGTGAAGTTAAGCGTTAATGACTTTATCATAAAAGCTGCATCACTTGCATGTAAAAAAGTTCCTGAGGCTAATTCTTCTTGGCTTGACACTGTGATAAGACAGTGAGTATTACTATAAACAACTATATGGGCATAAACACTTGATACCACACTGCCCCTACGTAATCACCACAATACCCAAAAGATGCAATTCGTTGTTTTTTGATTTTTTATTTGTTTTTTAATGTCACAGTCCCATAAATAAAAAATAACAAATGCAACCATGTGCAAATCTCTCTTTATCAAAATACCTGAAGTATAGCACTCGGTTTCTACTATCTTCTAAAATGAACCCAAGTTTTATTGATCTTTTTATTGCATGTACAACCAATGAGGTTAGAATGTTGATTGAATTTATCTCAATGACATTCAGCATCATTCATTGTTGTAGCAATAATACTTGGAAATTTCTTTATCTTCAGAACTATTATCCTCTTGATCATTAATTGACATTGTTGTCAAAAGTAAATAATTTTACCGAAAATATTGTATTTTATACATATTTACGTCTCTTCTCAATTAACATAAGAACTTATTTTCTTTCAAGCAATACTTTTTACATTGTGTATACTGTAATATGTTTCACTAGACAAGAGAAACCTTTTTTCACAGTGACATAGTTTGTAGTTCTCATACTTAATGTAGTAATGGCTTAATTGAAATGAAGCTTTGGGAATATCACAGAAGAGCAAACTTTTCGTATACAAATTTTGAGGGTGGGAATTTTGAGCAGTTTCTGAGAAAGTTATATGAGTGTTTCTGTAAAATGTGCCATTTTGAGCTTGTTGGCTTAATGTTTGAGATTTTGAGGAATTTAGAAGTATGAGAATTTTTGAAGTATTTATGATACAAATATAAATACATCTGTAATGTAAATATTTTAATGGCATGCAAGATGAGTAAAAGGAAGTTACATTAGTGTCATTTTGAAGAGATTGATTGAAAATGGCGGTTTTGAATGAAAAGATTCAATCAAAATGGCACTAAATTCATGTGATTTACCATTTTTAAGAGAATGTTTATATATCCATATAATTTATTATATGGATAGATAAATTATATCATATCTAATATTTTATTATATTATATCTAACCATATATTAATAATTTATTATATTATATCTAACCATATAAAATGTTTAAAGAAATGTGTGGAGCTGTTCTGGAGAAAATCTTGTTTGGATATGAAAAATGGTTGTGATTTGCTCTGAAATTTCTAAAAAATTGTTAATATTTTTAAAAAATTGTACATAGCCTAATTTTAAATTTAATGTTGAAGAACAGATTTCATGCAGAAAGAAATCTCTATCGTTATTTTAAAAAATATATAGTAAAATTTGGAGCTAGTTTTTATGTTGTTAAGTTGCTAAAGGCTTCAGGTCAAGTGCTCTTAAATGTCAAAAGATTAGTTTCAAGTTCACAGTGCTTTGGGTTTAACCAGAAAAGGAACATCTAATGGGTAATACCCAGTGAATGGTTTAGGTGTCAGTGTTGTTCACAGACATTGTTTTTGGAAGAAAAGAAAATAAAGGAAACTGGGGAAAGGTTTCAATCCTCATAATGCATATTTCTTTCAAAATTTGTTTTTGCACATTATCGTTATTTTCTCGTAACTTTGAATACAATAAATTTATATGCTTCAAAGCAGTATGTTTAACTGCGTGCTAAAATCAAGAGGCCTGCAACCTGAAATCAAGCTACTAGTTGAATCACTTAATGTGAAGAATTCCATCACATTTGTTTTTAATTATTACTTCATCAAGAAGTTGACTATATGTTGAGTATTTAAATTGTTTTCCCATACTTTTTATATTAGATTTGCTACAGCAGCAGAACCATCAATTTTTAGTTTTCTGTCTCTTTAAAGAGTACAATATTCTTAACCTTTAGGAGTACAGAACTGTGTGAGAGCTTTCTTCTTGTTAACCTTTCCTTTCTTCCTTTCAAAAATCTTTTGCACTTATGTGAAAAATCAATTTCATGAACTTCATGAAGTTGGTACATTTTCACAGTCAGATTTTACTATTATTTGACAAATTAGTAATTTATTTAGAGTATTCTGTGAAAGTTATGTGTAGAAATTTCTGTCTGAAAAGGGTTAAGTGTGCGAGAGGGATTTCAAATGTAAGTTTTAGCGTGTGTGCATCTGCTTATGAATGTGTAGGTACATGTGTCACTTGAATGTGCTTTATTTTGGCATGTTATACAACATATTAATCTATGGATGTTTTAGATACAGTTCTGTTGATATGAGCATTGCTGTAGCCACTGACAAGGGGCTGATCACTCCCATTGTGTTTGAAGCTGATAAGAAGGGACTGGCTACAATTAGTCAGGAAGTGAAATCATTAGCAGCTCGGGCTCGTGAAGGCAAGCTACAACCTCACGAATTTCAGGTATGTTTGTACTTGCAAAGTATTTTGTTGAAGTAGTTGGATAGATTGTGCTCTAATTCTTTTTTTATTCATAGGGAGGGACATTTTCTATTTCCAATCTTGGAATGTTTGGAATTACTAGTTTCTCTGCCATAATCAATCCTCCTCAGGCATGTATACTTGCAGTTGGAGGCACAACTACTCGTCTTATTCCATCCAAAGACCCAGAGAAAGGGTAAGTATAGAGATCTCAGTTGTGTTTAAGCAATTTCAGGTTACCTTTGTTATATTTCAAGAAAACCACAATTCTGGACTGATGATTAAAAAGTGTGCATTAGAGACTGGTAGCAAGCTAAAATATCCACTTACAATAAGCTCAAAGCTAAAACTTTTTAAGAAGTTAGTCATTGTTATGAGGCACAGGGAAACGCAAGTACTGCTGCTTGTAGGTGTCAGAGTTCCACAGCACAATTTTTTTAATGTGTCAAAAGCTAATGTTTTGCTTTAATGGTAGAAAATTCTTTTTCATTGACGTTTATGATCACACATGATCCTTTTCGGTGTTTCTTAAGTAGCCATCAAACTGATTCAAAGATGTAGCATTGTGTCACTAGGCCATGTACGGTGTCATAGGTACAAGTACGGCAGTACATATTTTGAGCCCCCATAATGCATTTTGATAAGAAGATGCCAATGCCATACTCGTGAGATATCCTTAAATGGCTACCATACTCAAAAATTCATTTCTTTCTAAAATTTTCATAAAATCATTGTAAGCATTGAAAATAATTGTATTAATCTTAACAACCATAAAAAATTTAAGTAAATGGTTGATTTGCAATTTTTTGTGAACAGAAATACTATGTGGTATTTTTATAGTGCTTTTAGACAGATTTATACGTAATGTTCTGGATTATCTCCTGGGTTGGTTTATACAAAGTTGGTAAGGCTGTCAAAAATGAGTCAAAAATTTAGCAGATAAAGAAAATGTACTTTTTTTTCTCTTTCTTTTTTTTGCCTTAATTGTTGTGATTTTACTGGCTTTTACTCTGCATGTGGGGCAGACTAAATGTGCTTTCAAACAAAGAATTAAAGAACATGTTACTAACATTAAGTGGACATGCGCAAAATTTAACTAAATTTCTGGATATTGCCTTGATATTTTCATTATTTTAATTTTGACAACCCTGCCATTTTGGATAATGAACCCAGAAAATATTCAAGATTAATCCCGGAGATATTATGTATAAAAACACACAATACCATTAATGCCATGTTAGAATCAAATTAATCACAAACATTTATGACAATCTTCTATCGAAAATAAAATTGCCCTAACATATTTATACTTTCTGATATATTTCATTTCCTTTATTTGTGTAAGTGTACTCCATTCTTGATCTGTTTCTTCGCAATTCCATCTCTGTTTATTTCTGTTTTTTGCTTGATTTCATTGTTAATGTTTGCAAATGATAATGTTTATTTTTACGTGAATATGTTCTCTCTCAAATCGTAATTGCTACTTTCTCCTCGAAGGGTGGATTTACATCGGGAATTGTTTTCCTTATTTGTATTAATTTTGGATTTATATTTTTCATTTTGTAAAGTTTTTTATTAATAACATATGTTGGTAAGTTCTTTCCCCTTTCTTTATATGTGTCTTTTATTCCATAATTTCATTTCTGATTACTGTGAAATTTCATTTTTAATACTTACATTCAAAACAATATCAATTTTTTTTAATTTACAGGAAAGTGTGTTAATTTTTGTTCACATATGACGATGCATATAAATGTTTCCATGAAAAGTCATGCTCCACTACCTTTTTTGAAACATTTACTTTGATTGATCAAAAACAGAAAAAGGTTAACAAGGTGTTAAAATATTGATCAACATAGAATTTCCACAGAATATTTCATTTCCAAATTATTTCAATTTATTAATGCATATACAAAAGTCGAAGTAATTACAACTTAATTATATTTCCTATTCTTAAAAAATATTTTACAAATATACAGGTTTTTTCCTTGCCTAGATTCATGCCATCAGTATGGTACATATATATCGGTATTTCAGACATTAAAAATGATTAAAAAACACAAGAGTGGCACATGTACTACGTTTTACGCATCACACTAGTAAACAATTGTACAACTGTAGAGGTTAATATTCTTTATTTAAGATATCCAATTGATATGGCATATACAGATTCGGGCATGTAGGCATTAAAATAAATAAATATTTTCCGCAGATTGGTACCTATCATACATGATATAGTGCCAAATTCGACATCTTTGAATCAGTATGGTGGCTACTGAGAGGTACCAAAAAGGTACAGTGGGTTAATAATAGGCAATGAAAAATAATTTTCTACCATTAGAGCAAAACATTAGCTTTGAGCTTCTAATACAAGAGAGCATTAAAAGAAAGACACTTGGAATTCAATATGGCATACATGTTTGAGATGCTACATCTGTATGGTATACAACTTCATCACACTTTGGTTATCTAATAAACAATTTACAACAAGAATTAGCTGTGTACTCATTCTCCAATGGCATAGCTTTTTTGTCACATTCAAAAAATTGTGTAGTGCAAGGCTGACACCAGGCTGCCATACTTGCATTTCCCTGTTCCTCATAACACTGGCTAACGTCTCAAAAAGTTTTAGCTTTGAGCTTATCATATGTGGATTTTGTTGATGGCTCCTGTTAGCCACAGAAAATTGATTTTTACTTTCTCCTATATATGTATCTAGGGAATAATATACATAATACAGAAAAAACAACAGAAAATCATTGGTATTTTATTGAAAATAAATGTTTTGAGGTCCCTGATACCAAAAAAGGTAAAGTTTATTTATTTTCTTAAAGTATTTGCAGACAACATAATACATCTGACATACCGTGATTCAGTGCTGATGTTCATTTTGACATAACTTTTCACTTCTCGAAAAATCACTATAATAACTCCATGTGAATATCTGATGTTCTTCTTTCTTTTTAATATAGAACTTAATGTTCTGTATGTATGAAATAAATAAAAGTGAGAATAACAATCTCATTATTATAAAATAGTACAGTGTTGGTGGGTATTGTATTTTGAGGTAATTAACCTTCATTGAAAGAGAAAAATGCAGAGTCTGTGGATCAGTAGGGTGTGGTCATCAAGGGTTCCATGGTACCCTTCCTCATGCTTATGTTCGCTTAAAGATATGTTTTTTGCTTCTCTGGTAGTGTGTTCGAGATATCAAAAAGACTGCTACCAAGAAATTTTTTTATCTATTGTGAGATTGTATATTTATTTCTTAAAAGTTTCATTCTGTGTTCTTATATGTGGGAATATTCAGAGTGACAAATGATATTGTATGGTTCTGTTTTGTGATGCCCATGTAATATGTGTATGATTTAGTTATGTCTCATAGAGTCTGAGAACAAGCCCAAGTTTGGTCAATCAGTGTTCATAGGTCATGTTTTTGTGATCCTGGGGAATGCATATTGCTCTTCTTTAAAAGTTCCTGGGTTGGATGATGTTTTTAACAAATTAAGTATTCCAAATAATTGTGCCAAATTCAATGATCGGGAGAATATAGGTCCTATTAAGTGAGGCAAAGATGTTACTTTACTGTACTTTGCTTTACTGTGCTTCATGGAGTGTGTATATAGCTTTATTTGCTTTTTAGGAGATGTAATTTATATGATTTTCCCATTTTAGGTCTCATAAAATTATGATTACCAGATCTTTCATAACCATGGTTTTTACTACATTTTCTTGACCTGTATGATAGTTTCATTTGGGATTAGATTCCCCTATGTGCATGATCAAACATTTTGAATTGTTCTGGATGTAGCATCCAGTCTCTCAACCATACACGTAACCTATCTAAGATCTCTTGGAGATGGTTCAGAAGAGTTTTGGCATAGAATTTAGTATCAATGCTTATGTCTTGACTTGGGATTGTATTTCATTTGGTTAGTTGCTAGTATACAAAATAAATAGGATTAATCACAATGATTTTTTGCCTCCAATTTTCATGCTGAAGTGCTAATTCTCCAGGAAGGATTGCATCCAATGAAGTAGCTTTTTCCACCTACGATGTAGTACCGTATTGAAAGCTTTAGAGATGTCCAGGCAGATGATATCTGTTAGGTTACTAATATCTAGATCCATAATACAATTATGAAGTGAAGGTAGATTGATTTGTTGTTATAAATTTTTGTGGTATAAAATCTTGATGTTATTGGGGTATACATCCAGTTTCAAAACCAAGTTGAGAATTTCATTCACCAGAATCTGCTTCAAAAACTTCCATATGAAACTGGTCAAGGCCTGTAGTAGCCTGTAGTAGCTGGCATCCAGTTTATTGCTTTTTCTAAGAGGTGGATTATCTCACCTGTTTTCCAGTCTAATGCTATTGTTCTGGTGTCAAAGAGACTCTCAGAAGATTTGTGGAGAGTAGAAGTGAATTCTCTGCTGCGTTCTTGAGAACGTGGTGGTATACTGTCTGGTCCAGCAGAGTTTGGGTGGCATTAGAACATTATAGATGCTTGCAATTTGAAAGTCAATGTCTTCCAGTGTTTCTTGAGAAGGAGTGAAGAAATAGGAGAGATGGGATTGTTAGAATCAGATGTTTAAAAGTTCTGTAAACAGATTATAAAGATTTCAGCAATCACTCCCTTGCTTGAAACTATTTCCCCATCTTCTTTCCCGAGGGTATGTTGAATTGAGACTTTAGTGGACTTCAGTGGTTGTGAATATATGAGTATATACTTTACTTTTGGTGATGTTTTGCTCATAGTTCCTTCTGCAAGTTTGAGTCTCATTTGTTATAATGTTACAGAATTCTGTAAATTCCCTACATATCAATTGTTGGTTGGCGGATTTGTATTTACTCCAAAGTCATTTCTTTTTGCACAATAATCTTACAATGGTGATGCATGGTTTATTTGGGTCAGGAATTTCTGGTGAGTTGTCATCTAGAGTTTTTAATTGACTATCGCCTATTTCCTTTCTAAATCCTCTGCATTTGGGTACTCAGAGGTTGTATCAAACTGTGCAAGGTCTCTTTTCACTTCCTCATCAGTTAGCTCGCCAGTTTCCTGATTTCATCTGCAAGGGGTGTTCATATAATTTAGGGAACTCCATTATTGCAAGTGGGACATAGTCCAAGCTTAAGTGAGGTCAGTTGAAGTAATGTAGTTTGATTTTGAAATAATGAATCCATAGAATATTGTTGCATAGACAACTGCATATTCTATATGGATCATGTAATCTGGAATATCCTGTTTCAACAATGTTTTCATAAGTATTCTAATATTTCTAAAATAATGGAATTGGAAATGAATTATGAAAATTGGAGTTTAGAGTATTCAAAAGCTATCAACCAAAGCTACAGAAAGAAGTATTCAAAGAAATTGATAAGAATGGTATAGATTTTGTAGTATTTTCAGGGGAGGGGAGAGGTAAAGGTTTAGAACGAATGGCTGGATATATGCACATTTACTTGGAAGTACCAAAAGATGAGAAAGTTTGTACCTTTTGACTTTCTTGCTTGCACTTTAATACGTTTGTATTGATTTCCTGAAACAAAACTAGAGTCCAAATATGTGTTTTTCCTGTCCATATTCTTGTTTTGTGACTTAAGACTCCTGTGATGTTAAATCAGAAAATAATCAATATTTTAATACACTTAAACATCATGTCTTCACCAATTTCACTAATCATAAGTATAGAAAAAGGGGGTCTTAACCATTAAATAACTCTAAAACAATTTGTAAAAAATGCGAGTTTCACTTATAAATGGACTTATGCACTTTCTGCTTTGTATGTAGATGTTTAAAATACTGTACATAAATATTGTAATATACATTCTGTTCCAATGCTTAGGTACCAGCCAGCACAGTTCCTGACAGTGTCGTTAAGTTGTGATCACAGAGTGGTAGATGGTGCCGTGGGAGCTCAGTGGTTACAGGCCTTCCAACAACTAATGGAGAAACCTGAGACGATGCTTCTGTGAAATTATTATGACTGTAGATGCTCATAAATTAGCCATAACCAATGGCTGGCTGCACAGACTTGTGTATATTATACTCAGTAGTGACAGAGTGATCAACGTGATGTGTTTTATACATATGTACAGCAAAGATAGTCTTGTGTCACATTTTACCATGCTCATTTCCTTACCCCTTCTTTTGGTCTCTCTCGGCCTTTTCTCTAAGTGATATCAGAATAGTTAACAATATTCGGAAAATCATTGTTATTTAAATTTATATGAAATTTTTTCTTTGATAAGAAAGAATCTGTCCCAGGGCATATTGAAATTGTGATTACTTTATGCCTAATCATTTTCAGCTAGTCCAATCATCATTACATCATTAGGTTCTGAATCAGTTCTGAAAAAATGAATTATATATTTTAGTGATTCTATTAATGTATTATTGAGTGTTTTCTTGAAATAAAGAGAATGAGGATAAATGTATTAAACAGTCCTGCTACATTCTTGTCTCTGATTTAGTTTGTTGTATATTTGTAAAAATTAATCTATTTACTGTTTAATCAGTATGTTGTAAAGATTTTAAATCTGTAAAATATATATGAAAGTATAGGGACTTGGATGTAGTACACTGTATTTATTAAATAATTTTGATCATAAATTTCTGTTTTTTTCTGCATCATCTTATTCAGTTTTAAGCCTTGTCATTTATACCATACAAAATATACCATTAATCAATGTAACAGTAATTATGTAGCCTTGGGGGCGGGGGGATGATTTGCTGTGAGGAGAATGTACGTCCTAACGTAGTGTAATCTATGTCGTTTCAAGTTCATTTCATCTCTCTTGGATTTTCATATAACATAAATTCAAAATTCAACCCAGAAAAAGTTGTTTAGTTATTTTATTTTGCAGGCTATGAAATTATCATTTATTTTAAAAATGTTTTCATGTCTAAAAAAACACTAAAAATGTTTCAGTGAAACCTATTCAAAAAGTAAACTATTTTTCATTCATTCTTCTGTGTACTTTGAAATATTTTAACATCTTCTCACACATAGTATTTGCTGAGTTCCAATTGATGACAAGGTGCTTAGTATTTTCTTGCCTTAAGGAGATACTTCTTAAAAAGAGAAAGTTAAGTAAAGCGGCGAAATTTCGGCAGAAAAACATATTACCGAAACGAAAAAATAAATAAATCCAGTGATAAATTGAGAGAAAAAAATTCTTCTAACATGCGGTGTAGCCAGATCCTGTGTTTTGTGGGGCTTTGATACATAAAAATCGATTGACTGCCAAACAACCGTTTGTCTGTGAACAAAGCAAGTGGCTAAATCATTCAGACGATTTTCTCCTAAATTGATATTCCTCAATTGATCTGGCTGATGTTGCGGCCCCTTATTTGAAACCGATATGTTAAGTTTGAGGGGTACTTTACATGAAGCCCTTGGAACATTTTCAAAAAAAAAAAATAGCTCCATCGTTATTGATTAAATTTTATTGTTGGATAGTGTGAAGGATGTTTAAGGGAATAGTGCAGGGCACATTTTCGTTGAAAACGGATTTTTCGAATATTGCAAAAATTCAAACTTTGCGGCGTCTTCCTACTACTAAAATTATGAAGATACCGATGTTTCCCCTAATGATATCCGTTCCTTAAAAATAGATTTTCAAATGTGTACAATTTTTTGAAAACTTCAGTACTTTCGGCGCAATTTTGACTGACATATAGGCAATTTTTAATATTATTTAGACTTTTTTTTCAACAATGGTGCCATTGCTTTTTATTAAATTTTGTTGTTGAATAGTGTGAAGAATTTTTAAGAGAATAACGCGGGTTTCATGTTCGTTAAAAATCATAATTTTCCGAAAATTGAAAAACTTCAAAATTTTTTCGGCGTCTTCCTACAACTACAAAAATATAATTATTTTCATAATGAAATGTGTTTATCAAAAATGGTTCTAAAAATAATATCGGGGATAATTTTTCAAAAATCTAGGAGTATTTTTTGTGTCAAACATGCGCAATTTTTATTGTCATTGAAACATTTTTTTTTCTGCAAAAAGGACACAATTTTTTTCATTAAATTTGGACCTTAGATAACGTAAAGGACGGTTAAAAGTGTCGATGGTTGTCGGTCTCGGTTGAAATTCCTGATTTTTTTTAACTAAAAGTTTAGGCGTCTTCTTACAACTACAATTGTGAAGATACGTTTGTTCCTTAATGAAGTGTTCATCAAAAACGTCTTCAAATAAGGTCATATCTAATTTTTCGAAAATATTAATTTTTGAGTAATTTTGCGTCAAACATAGTCGCTTGCTCCGAATATCCTGTGCTTCGGGAACGTAAAAAGAATGGCGATGCTAGGCAGTTGGATGCTACGTAAGTTAGAATTTGTTTATTATTTCATATTTCTTTGTTCGTTTCTTACATTGGAGATTTTTTTATACGTTTACAAATTATTTAAAACCTATTTGATCTCTTTTGTCCTTGTTCCGAGGAATGTATTGACAGGGATGCGTCTCTGGATCCAGAGGGAATTTGAGGGAGGGGGGAGGTTTGAGTGTGTGTTTCTCATTCAATTTCACATATCGTATATAAGCACAAAGATAATATAAATTATAAACGAGTTAGATTATTTATCATCCTTTTAACAAAATTAAATATTAAGTTTAATATATAATGAATGGTTTTAAATTTAAAAGAAAATAGTAATAATTTGTTATTAAAATCGTTGAATTCAAAGCTACAAAAGGATGATAGATAAGGGTATTAAAGTTTTCATACTATCATACAGATATGAACAGATAGATTATTAATAAAAAACGCATGATTTCGATTCACAAATTAAACATTCGCTTAATAGAAACATTACTGTCCAGGACTGAAGAAAGTCGTCAGGATTTTACAAGTCTCCTCTACTTTTTCTTTCACTTAGATGTCTTTCTCTTTTCTTTTTATCCTTTTTAATTTTTTTCTTAAGTATTTATTAGCCGCGCCGTCTCCAGGCGCACGTAAGCGATCCATGCCCGATTCTTGTGTTTCCGGCACACTGTAATTGCGCGAAATGCCACAGCGGTTCACGATCACTCGCTTAGCAACTAGAGAGAGACCTTACAAGGGTTCAGGATTCCCATTTGTAACTAAAAAGCTAAGGTTATTTTTCGATTCATTTTAGAAGTTTTTCTGCGCGAAAACTGCTAAAATTATCAAACAAATGTAAACGACCCTAATGAAAGACCTGACAATGGAGAACAAGCTTTATTTCAAAGGAAAATCTCTATTTTAAATTTTGTAGTCGTAGGAAGACGCCGAAAAATTGAGAATTATCTGTGAAAATCGAACCTACACTACTTTTATACGTGTATTTTACTCTATTCTTTCAACCCACCACCCAAAAAAGAGCCATTTTTTGAGAAAATTTTGAAAATGTTGCTAGGGATTCATGTAAAGTAGTACCCCCAAATTTTGAAGAAGGTTTTCAAAATTGCAGCGCCGTGAGTCGAGTCTAATCGACCACGGAATATCCATTTTGGAGAAAATCTTACGTATGGTTTAGGCAACCGTTTTTACAGCCAGGCGGACGGACATTAAAAAAAAATTAAATTAAACACACACAAACTATTTCGGTATTAGGAGATCCCAAAACTTGTCTTTACATTAATTTTCTGCAGCATTGCATAACTTTCTCTATACTACGTATATTACTCCATATTAAAATAGTGTGTAATAAGTCGACAAAATATTTCTTTTTACAGATGGTAGTTTGGCCCTACATAAGATGTATATACTATATTGGTTTGTTGGAAAGTTGAAGGTTGTATAGACCTTTCTTGCGGCAGTTTTAAAAGTGTGAGGTTTTCTTCAAACTTTTAAAACTCATACTCGGTACATAAGTACGTATGCGAGAAAGTAAAAACACCTGATTTGTATTAATTTTAATTTTTGAACGAAAAAGCATGAAAAGTGTATGTCAACCCAATTCTGATTACTGTACCTCGAATGCCCGATAATACAGGCATAACAGCAGCAACACAAACTGTACTTAATGGTGCGAAACAACTTTCTTGTAATGTCTCGGGTATTTGACATTTGTGCGAGAAAATGGTGGTCGTCTGTTCTGATACCTTTATCTCCTAGCAATGCTCTCACATCGATTGGCTGAACGTGTGATAAAGCAATTTGCAACTGAAAAGGTCGTTTATTATGCTTGTATACCAAAAATAGTATTACATTACGATTACTAAGGGCGAGAAATTGCGTAAATTTTTAGCACCACTAGTTTTTCGTTGTTTTTTACTTAGTTTAATTTTATTTTAAATTTCTTAACCCGAAAACGTAACACTGATGTTATACACAACACACAATGTAACACTGATGCCGGAATGGAACCCGCGGGAGACGCTGAAATGCGCTTTGCCGGGCCGGAGCACGGCCACCTTCTGTGGTTCACTTGAAGGTGGCCGTGGCCGGGCATAGAGTAGAGATGTATCTCTCCTCTATGTGGCCGGGCCGGGGTCGCCTGGAATCGTAGACATCGCGGCGCCACGGACTCTTGAGTTTCGTCGGCGCCATGTCGAGCAGAAAGAGTAGTGTAACATGCAGCTCCAGAAACGATTTTGAGGAGGGGCACAAATTTCTTAATTGTGTAGTAGTGTGGAAAGGGAACAGGAGACTATGGATAAATTTAATATTCGAAAAACCAATAATTGTTTGGCATTTTTTAAAATTTCACTCACACATTACAGGAAATTAAATATAATTTTAAAGAGAAATATAAAATATGTAATAGTTATTTTTAAGACTTCAGAAATAAATTTATGGATCTTCTAAGACTAACACCTTACCTTGGAACAGGTTTTGTGCACTATTGCACCTGTTGGTAAACCGGAAGAAACGTATTTGGAGATGGGGTTCAAAAACTCGCCAGTAGGTAGTTCTAAACATCCTACTAAGAAACACTTCTCAAGTGTCACCGATCCCAGGCTGCGCCCGCAGTACACGAAGTATATATCCTGTGTACTTCGAGCCCGCAGGGAGCCGCTATTTGCAAGTCCCATGTTGCAATTTTCACAACTTCAAAGGATTTGTCTTAAGGGAACGTTATATTCGGTTACACTGTAATAGGACAGTTCTTGAACGTCCCTAACCAATAGGGCTCTTTACGTACACGAGGTTTCTTAGCCGCGCGTCTGACCGGGACATTCCTAACCACGAGTTAGAGCGCGCGGGCAGGACCGTGGTGCGCAGAAGTGTGGTTCTTATTTCTGCCACGCTTCTGCGTGCCACTCAAGAACTATTCGAGGAAAATCATCCGTGTAAAGATCTCAGCAGCGTTCTAGAGCGCACTCTTGTGCGAAACGCGGAATTTCCGAGATCCCACGCTCCTCACTTGCGTTCCACGCTCCTCGCTGCTGCTGCTGCTGCTGGCACTGTGTTGGAGCAGTTCTGATCATGTTGCGTGTTATCCTGGGGTGTTTATATAGTGTATAGTGAATCAGATTACTATTTTTTCTATTAGATTAATCAGAAATGTCCGTTCACAATTATCGTAAAAGGAAAATTATAGCAGTGCTTGGAATTAGTGCCACAACATTATACCAATGGAAATGGAGAAGAAAAAAACGCATTGTTTTGGGTAAAATGTTACAGACAAAAATATGATCATATGTCGCTGTTGAAGAAATTAAAGGAAGACTATTCTGATGACTTTCCGTCCCCCTCGTTTTTAAAATTTTTATTAGTATACATAGAATTTTAAGCTTACATAAACTAGGACATTCCGTATGTACACGGCGAGGCATAGGTCTTGTTCAGAATAAATATGACGTCATCAAATACATACTTGAAATGGTAAAGATATGATTTGAAATGTTCAAAATTAAAATTATTCTTTAATGGAAACGAAAACATATTGAACTTAATACGTGCATAAAGGGGAATAATTGCTCTCATGGTAAATAAGAAAAATCGCTCCTATCGTCGCTTGTTTTCGTGAACATACCATTCAAATACTTATATCCCGTCTTTATACACTCGTTTCGTTAATTACTATTGCCCAATAACAACATTTAATACATTTTTGTATTCAACTACAAAACGCTTAAAACATCTGTTATATAAGTTAATTATAGTATAGTTATAAGCTTTATATTTAAGATACCATCCTTCCCATGGTTACATAAGCTTAATCGGCTGTAGCAATTGCTGTAAAGTCCTTTTGTTGAATTCCCGCTTCCCCAGGGCTACTGGACAGGGGAAGTCTGAAAAAGAAAAAATAAACAAAAAATACACATCTTCCAATGTGACCGATCTACTTATAACCTTCATTGAGGATTAAATTTAAAAGAATCAAATGTATTCAATTTAGTCTTAAACGGTGGAAATAATACACGACTGATATCATGTGATTTAATTAAGTTAG